AAAACACTTTCCTTGTTATTATCAACATCTACTTCGTTGATATCTGTCTGGTTTGTAGATTATTTTACACACGTTAATTTTGACGTTCCTGTAGTAGCACTATAAAATCTTTAGTTCTAATTTTAAAATCCTTTAAAATTTTTCTCTAAATTTTAAATTTAAAATTGTTAGGGTTACTCGCCCTATGTCTAAAGTGCTGGAGCGGCTAGTTCTTGTTTCCATACTTTATAGGTGTTATCTTGTGCAGTCTTCCTGTGTGCGTGCCTCTGTTATTCTTTACTACATGTGCTCAGCACACGGGTTCGATTCCCGGCGCTACACAATTTCTAAGAAGTAGTGGCTCTGGAAATTTATCGGAAATTGCGGTTGCGTTGCGGTTGCCAGTTTCCTCGGTGTGCCCTCGAGCCGTTTTCACTACTGTCAGCTGCGTAGAGATGGCAGTAGTTGTATGCGCCGATGACGACTACTCATGTTTCCAGGTTACTACACCAGTTGCGGGGGCATACGTTACGTTTGTAATCTTTGGGTACGTAGCGTACGTACGTAGTGTGTTTAGAGGTGTTAGTAGTCCGTGGAGTTGTCGGTGATCTGTGTGATATTACAAGGTGGTGAGAAGAAGTTGGTCATTGTTGTGAAGTTTTGAAACGTTTGTGTACGTATTGCGTACTTTCGTTATTAGGCACCTGGAAAGTTTTCTGGCATGGGTTCGACGAAGAAGCACAAGATTCGAGAATCTAAGAAAAGGAAGTACCGCAGCAGGAGTAACTCCCGGTCCCCTGAACGGAGCAAACATCGACACCACAAAAAGCATCATAAAGATAGGAAGAAAGAGAAGATAATAAAGGATAAAAATGGGGAACTTATACCTAAATACGACAATTATGATAGTGAAGGTAAGTTACACTTACGTTTAAGTTTTTTTTTTTTTACAGGTGCATGTAGCCCTAACCTGAATATGTGACACCGATTTTTCTATCATTTGAAGAAAACCTCAGATCTTACATTTCTGTCATTTGTTAGCCTTATGTCGTATGTTGTTAATTTTAGTGCATCGTCATAGTATTTAGGTCAACTGAACTTCGTGGCAGGATACGGAGTAATGAGTAATGTGTAAAGTAAATCATCTGTATTCATATGCTTCTTAAATAACTGTTGCGAGTTTTATTGTAAGAACAACAAATGCAGGCCAGATTCTCGGGGTTGGGCGGGAGTAGTATAGCAAGAGGTATTGGGGCCGTGGTTGCAGCTTCATGGTGGAATGGTTTGTCACACTGTAAAGAAGGCCCTACAACTTACTTATTAACAGGTGACCCAAGTAACTTCAAAACGTTACTGCCGTTTTGTTCGCCAAATTAACACTGTAAATCGCAGAACTTTATTTGGGTTTAGTCCTGGATTAGTATTCTCTTTCACTTCCATTCTCTTTCCAATCCCCATCTTAATGTCTCATCTCAGAACAGTGTTATACTTCGGTCTTGTAATGCTCAAACAGAACAGGTTGCATAGAAATATTGTTATGCAGTTGTCTGCTGAATGTGCTTAGTTTGAATCTCGGCAGGAATGCTGGCTATCCTGAGTGAGGCTTTTTGTGGTTTTCATCAGCCCTTCCAAGCAAATTCCTGAATAGTGCCTCAGGCCATGACCAGTTCTTTCAAAGTCCTTTCCATTCATCACTCATCCTGCAATCTGACACTTTGTAGCCTAGTTACTGGAAGCGGCATTAAGGTATTAGTTGTTTTTGTTGTTTGGCCACTGATCACCTTTGTACATTTAATGTTAACTTGGTTAGCCAGTTTGTAGGAACACCGTGAAACAAGGGGAAACACATTCAGAATTGTACAAGATGTTTGAAGTGGCCTATGGTGATGTGATTATGTCAACAATATTAACTTTTAGGTGAGATATTAAGAAGGCAAAGAAGACATGAGCAATAATAAAGAGTGTTGAAGACCAAAATATTTTGTAATCGATTAAAATGTCTAGAGTGAGAGGGAGGGCTTGGAAGTGTTTGAGGTGTGACTCTCACGTTAACTGTGGAATAAGAAACAATTCAGCAGAAATTGTGTAATGAAATTTAGTGGAAAACTAGAACATACAGGTGGTTTGTGTGAAGGTGATTCTGAAAATGGTGTCTTGAGTCTTATAAATGGAGACAGATTTGTTCTGATCTTTATGCAGCGTCCAGAATAAAAAAAAATACTTGTGATGAAACTTCAGTTTTTTGCTACACCCAAGAGACCAAATAATTGTCAGTTATCCGTGGTTGTCCTACAGTTTATCCGAGCTCAAAGATGCTTGTGTTGAGTCACAGATGAAGATGGTGTTATTTGATCTTCTGACTTCCAAAATCTGTTCATTCAGAATATGTTCCCGAGGACTAGGTTGTGAACCTAACAATCTTCTAGAATATAGAGGTTCTCTGATGTCAAAGTGATGAATCTTGGAGGAAAATATCAGTAAAATTATCAGACTCTTCAAGGTGGCAGTGCGCCAATACACAGTGTTATGCAAATAAAAATTTGCTGGTCACATTTCATGTCATTTCAGCCATCATTATGCTCCTTAGCCCATCTAGTCTGTGAACTAGAATATAATATATCTTGTGTAGGTAACCTTAAGGAAGAGACGTCCTGTATAACCTTGTTCAAATTTCCCATCAGCAGATGAATACCAGAAAAATGTTGACAATGAATTTAGGAACTTTCTAATGATGGTTTCATAATTGGAAAATTTAGTAAGATTTAAGGCTGTTGCTTAGATTAACTGATATTATTCCCACGTGTGGCTGGAAGTGCTGGCAGATCTGCATTGTGATTGCTGTCTTGAGTAAGATAGTAAGGAATGTTTTAACTTTTGGATTGTAAGAGTATTCAAGTCATATACACGTGTGGCAGTGATCTACCTTGGCAAGATTCTGAGATGTTAGCGTTATATGAGTTTGCCATTTCATTATTTTTCTCTTGAGACTTACTGAATCATAATAATCTAGCATTATGGTTCTCCCCCCTCCTCATTATGAAGTATAATTTTAAGTGCAGTAGTTAAATTAGAGGTGTATAATTCATGTCAGTAACTTTGCTGTAGCTTTATGCTGATAATGAACATTGTATCATGACAGGGTAAGCTGTTTCATTCTTTTTGAACAGTTTTGCCTGGCCCTGTACTCCATTTCTCTGTGTGTGTGGGATGTATTTTTAAACCGACTACTTATATTTTAAGTTTAGTACATGTGTCACCAGTTTATGCTTTTAGAATATCTGAAACCCGAATGATATTGGTTCACACATTCACATCCTGTTGTTATTTAGCATACCTTGCTTCTCCTCTGTAAAACAGTTTATGTGTCTTAGCACCTGTCATTGAACACACATGGCTAGCTAGATACATCAGTTGCATCATTACATTATGTTGAATATACACTGTTAATAAAGTTGGTTAAGCAACCTCTAGCCATTTGTGTTGACTGACTGCATTCAAAGAAGGCTGTAATTTTGCCTGCGTTTTTGTCCGTTTTTTCAGAGTTATGCAATCCTGAAGAATGAGTCTTAAGAGTCTCCATTCGGAAAGCCTGTAAAACAGATGATGTTTGGAAGGTATAGTACTGGCTTATAGAAATCCACAGTAATTTAGTGTCAGATGAAAGGAATAAGTTGATAACATTAGCTGAGAATGATTTGCTTGTAAACAGTATGCATATTATCTTATGCAAGTGTTTAAAAGTTTACACCTAACTTCAGTTGTGTGCTTCCTTTTTTTAAGCTTTTTTTTTAATCTGTTAGTTGTAGTATATCTTCCTTTCAGTGTCCATTGGATTGAGATAAACACTGCGGAGTGTTCTGATGGGGAATACATTTAATTTGTTGTATATGATTCAACAGCTGGGGTCCTTCTCAAACTCCCAGCACTGGCCCTCAGTATAGTAATTTTGTAACCATAAGTGAGCAAGCTCTTGTGTATTTAACGTGCGTGTCATTGAACAGTTAATTACCTTATGGGCTGCATGGAAAAATTTGGTTCATGTAACAAGGTCACATGTAGGACTGCTATGCAGTGAAACCTCACTTATTCAAAATTTGCAATTATTCAGCCAACCTCTTTTTTTTTTTTGGGTGCATTGCATCCTTTATGATCACAGCTGCGATCACCAAGCTGGAGTAGAAGAACAGTGCAAGAGTTGAACACAAAATAAATTGATTTTTTAAACAGTCTCAGTAACACTATATATGTAGGCTACCGAAAGTTTCACATTTAATGACAAGTAAATTTATTTAATGATGTACAACCTAAATTTAAAAATAAAGTTGTATTGCCTGAACTCGTGAAGTCCATTTTATAACTTCTTTGAACATATTTTGGTATCACTTCTATAATTTAGACTTTCAATAATTTGGAGATGGAGCATGTGGTAGCATAGATGGTTGAGGCACTATGCTACAAGCTGGAAGGTCGTGGATTCAAATCCTGATGAGGTAAATTTTTTTCATTTGACCTAATCCTTCCAGCTACACTATGGCCCTGAGGTTGACTCAGCCTCTAACAGAAATGAGTACCAGGAATCTTCCTGGGGCGTAAAGGGCAGCCGGCACATAAGGCTGACAACCTTACCACCATCTGTAAGTCGATTGTCTAGTTAATGTGGGGCCCCTCAATGTCTCACAGCCCTGCATGGCCTGTTACAGGGATAACTACCTTTTTTTACTAATTTGGAGAAGTGTTCACTCCTAGTTAGCCCTAATTAGTGAGGTCTTGCTGTATATGTAATATCAACATAAAGGAAATTGGAAATTTGCATCTTATTATATAAAAGGTACAACTTGAGATATAATCTGGGGCATGCATTTTAAGTAAATTTTGTTACACACAGCTAACATTCAAGAGATGGTCATGTGAGTGATGCCACTTTTGAAAGATTGTACTGTGCTGTACAGTTCCATCCAGTTGTTAGCACTGCTAACATGGGAGGTACTGGATTCAGTTCTCAACCTAAAGGCTGGATACTCTGACTGTTAAGTTGTGCCAAAATAGATCCTAACTAGTCCTGGCTACAGGACACAATGTTTCACATACCCACCACAGATTTGTGAATTGAAATGAGATTTTGTTATATGTAGGTAAAAAGGAAGACATTGAAACATATTTGCTAATGAAAAGTGTGTTTCAGTATTTTCTGGGGCGTGTGAATCAGAGGTAGGCCCCCCTGTGGTTTACCAGCAAAATCTGGAACTAAATAGATAAAGTCAGTCATATTGTTAATTCCATAAACATTGCTGTTCTGTCTCTAAGAAACATATCCACTACTGTGGGCATAGATTATGTACTAATTCATACTGTGAGTGATGATTTAGGCTACAGAAAGTGGTAGCCAGATGGGTATGATAATGCATTTGCACAGACAATGTCATGTATGCACAGAACTCTGTTTTATCAGTAGATTTTATGTTCCACATACAGTGGTATTGTTCATAACTACACACTCCACAGAAGGTATGACCATTCTTGACCTAAGCACTAAGTGGAAGCGAGTGGTCACCTTCAGATCCTAGGCATTTTACCCCCAGGGAAAGAGCCCCTTGTACCCGTTGGCTAGGAAGCTGGGTGGGCTACAGCTGGTCTGCGCTGTGGAGAAGAGAGAAATCTCACGCCCCTGCATGAATCAAGTGCCAGTTCCATGAGATCAGCCCCTATTTATGGCAGCAGAAGATGATGCTAAGAAGTCAAGACAAGATAAAAACATCTGCATCACTGCTGACCAGATCTCCAGGCTGCTGATGAAAAAGACATGTTTGTACAATCCAGGAACTGTTTAACAGAAGGCATCCTTTTTCAGGACCAATAATGACAATCCCTGTTCAAAAACCAAGAATTTACAGGGTCCCATGGTCATGTGGTGAGG